AGTTCCAGAGAAGTGTGAAGGAAACTGTCGGAACGCCAGCAACGGGCGGCGCTCCTTGAACGCAGTTCCAGAGATTATAATAATAATATATAATAAAGTACGTGTGGTAGTGTGCACTTCTAAATAAAAGCGATTTGCAAAGAGCCCCATAGTTTACAAATTTATATTGTAACGAACCCTGGACGCGGCGAGTATACCTCAGCAAACCAGAAGAAGCAGGGGCAACAAAAAGCTTCGTTACAATACTTATGTAGGCCAGTGATTCGCCGAAAGTAACCAGCTACCGCTTTGTTCATCGTAGAAATGATCTCGGAGGTTCAGCACCATCTGTTGAGAGGTGAATTTAATTCCTTTTTAGCTGGAATCTACTCACTACACAGCGACGGCTTTTTTACATAAGGGATTATCTAAAATATTGGAAATCTGTACTTAAGTTTCGATTGACTGACTGACATAGTTCCTAAAAAACCCAAACTAATTTCTCGAAACCTCATTAAAAGCACTAATCACCTGTTGAAACCCCTGCAGAATATTCAACACTTCAAAAGTTCATATTTACAGCACACTCACTTTTAATAATAAGCCGGGAAGGGGTGGTAGTTTGATGGATTGGAAGCATGATGATTAGCAGATGGCAGTACTGGTGGACGCACACCAGGATGATAATTGCCCGATGCGACCTGATGGTAGGCGCCAAAACTGCGCGCCATATGCCTATTTTGCGCCGACTCGCCGAGAAGACGTGATTGATCGGTGCCCAAGAGTCGATTATTTTGCTCCATCAGCAGATGAGCGGTGGGATCGACCAGTAAGCGATGCTGATCAGCCGCCACATTGGACGCAGCCAATATGCGATGCTGTTCCACAGTAGACAATAGACGGTGATGCTCCAAACTCTCACGACTCTGATGTTGCATTTGCGAGGAGAGAAAGGAACGATTATTGCCGACAGACATATTGGTATTTGGCGTCAAATCCAATGATGCCATACGCAGCATATCGTGATGTGGATGATTATACGGTAACTGTGGTGGTGATGGCACCACATAATTAGCGGTACGACTCAAGTCTACTGAAGTGGTTTGATCGTGATCTTGTTCGCCCAGCTGATCGGGTAGCATATTATGCATCGCCGTTTGATGTTGTTGCATAGCCAATTGGCTGGAGTGTTCCTGTTGTTGTTGATGTTGTGCTGCCACAGCAGCGGCGGCCGCCACTGCAGAACTATGATGTTGTTGCTGCTGTGTCTGCGCTTGTTGCGACTGTTGTTCACGCTCGGAGAGTATATCGTAGATGTGATGATGGTAGCGACCGATACCAGGTATATTGGAGCTGGCGCTGCCAGGCAGCTGGAAGTTGTGGTGATAGTTCGAAGCGCTGACACTGGAGCGTGACATGTCGAGACCCTGCAAGTCCGACAGATCGTTGGCGGTGGGCGCAGAGGCGGTATTGCTGTTCGCACTGCGATATTCTGCCGGCGAATCGAGCTCTTGGCTGTTGTACTTAAGATTCGCCGCATTGGCAGCCATACTTTCGTACTTGGTATACATGAGGTCCATTTGCGACTGTGAGAATTTCATGCGCATATCTTGACCCGAGCTGTTTGGAGAGTTTGGAAAGTCAATTTGTGATTCTGTTGCTTTCGACAAGTGCACGTACCTATTTTGTGGCATAATACTGTTCTCATCGTCACTAGATAGATGTGGATTATGTCCAATCGCTTGCCGTCTATCATTCTCATGCTCCGCGCGTTTGTGTCGCATCATTTCGCCGTTGAAATTGTAGCGTGGTATAGACGGCGATGATGCGGGCGATATGAGCTCATGTTCTGGATATGCGCTGCCAACACTTGATGCATTACGTCTATGTCCTTGCATTGTGGGCAAAGGTGAGGAGGCTGATATGTTATTGTTGCTATTACCACTGACGCTATTACCGCTGCTGTTGCTGCCTGCTGTGCCTGGTCCGCCGGGTGTACCATTAGCGCCAGTAGCATTCGCATTGCTGAACATACCATAATCGCGACCAGGCGATATGGGTTGCGGCGTGGGCGGTGTGCGATGATGTACCGAGGAGAAGCCGTCGGAATCAGCAGCGCCGGCACCTAAATGCTGTGGGCGTGGCGTGGAGCTGGCATCCACATCTACGTCGTTATTATTTTGGTTGCTTTGAGGATTTGTCGGTGTCGAAGCGTTTGGCGATATGTTGCAGGAGGTCATAGCGTTGCCTGAGTTCGGGAACATTGGCAGTGGTGGAATTTGCATTGGGAAGCTACTGAGATTCTTCATCATCTTCAGCTCGTTCTCCAGGTTGTCAATGCTGTTAATGGAGTGGTGATTGGCGGCAGTGTCTGTGTTGAAGCGATTCGTCTCGTTGTCAACGTGATGAGCGCTCATTGGACTATCGGTGTTAATGTTCGCATCATTCGGCACCTAAAAATAGGAAAAAAAATTATTAATTTATATGGCTGGATAAAATTTTTTTTTAATAATAATACGCACCTTCATGTCATTATTTTCCGAATCGATCATATTACCCACAGAATTCAATGCTGCCTCTACAAGCATGCTCGCCGATGTCGAGGCGCCACCTGCACCGCTCAGTCTTGCATTTGCATTGTTGTAAAACGAACTCATAAACGATTGCGAATGCGCCAACGAATTCATTTGCAACTGTGCCTCCTCCGCTTGGTGGCCCGGTGTGTTGTTCGTACCGCCAACCATATTATTCGTATTGCCATTACCCGTGTTGACCACATGTCCTCCGCTGCCAACATTTCCAACTACACCGCCACCACCGCCGCCGCTATTGTGATGGTATTGTGCAATTTGGTTGTTATTATTATTATTGGATTCGACCACATCGAGGAAAGAGGAGTTCTCATCCTCTTCGCCGCGATTGTTATGATGCGCATGACTAGCATTAGCGGAATTCATCAGACGCGCTAAAAAGTCGCGATTGTGGCCAATCAATTTGTTCGCATTATCCACTGTGCTGGGTGGCACCGCAAACGGTGGCATACCCATATCATTGCCCACACCGACGCCAACACCACCACCATTGCCGCTCATACCACAGGCAGCCGCCACAGCCGCGGCGCCACCCATAGCAGCAGCGACCGCTGCATCAGTCCCTACACCGCCACCAACGCCGACACCTACTCCAACACCACCACTACCAACACCGCCACCACCCATGCCACAGCGATCCACTGTGTTTACACAGTCGCGCGACAGATGACGATCGTCACCGCTAATCCATTTCTTGCTGCCTTTACTCACAACCAAATTCTGTCCCAAAGCATTCATGCCAGCATGATGGCGGTAACCGTTATTGTCGTCATGCGTTTCACCATGTCCGCCATCATGTACATCATCCGCTCCATTGTCATCCTCGTCGTCCTCTTCGTCATCATCGTCATTCAGCATACCCGCTACTGCATGTCCACTCATAGCCATCGCGTGATGTTGACTATTGAGCCCAGACATCATGTGCATTTTGGTGGGATCTTCAGCTACGGCTGCCGCTCCAGCACCGGCCATCGCCGATACAGCCGCTGCGGCGGCGACCACCTGTTGGACTTGTTGCTGTGCGGTGAGACGCTGTGCCGTCGTGGTCAAAAAGGATTCAACGAGACTCAATTGCGCATTGGCTTGTTTACGACGCACCTGCTCCATATGCTCGTCTTCATCATCCTCCTCAGTGGCGTTGCCTACACTGGCCCCAGCACCGCCAGCGACTGTACCCATCAAATTCATATTTGCTGTTGGTGGTTCCTTCTTTTTCTTGCGTTTTCGACTGCCCACAACTTTTTCGCCAAATATGCTGGATATCTTAGATGAAAGTAATGAGAGGTTTGGCTCATTACGGCACAGATCTTTGATGGATTTGCCCGATTTCTTGATGGCTTCGAAAATATTGTCGTCCGAGAACTCAGTGTCGCTTTGTATGCTCGAGCTCAGTCGTGAGTTTTGATCCTCCAGGCTCTTACGTCGGCGGCGCGGCGCTTGTTCTGTGTGTACACAAAGGGAATACAATTAAGTACAGAATTGTTTAGATGGAGTCTAACATGAGAACTTACCCAGAAAGTCCACCTTCATGCCACCCGAATAAGCATCGAAGGTATACGCGACACTACGCTCAATCCTGGGCATCTGCTCCTGTGTATAGTTATGCACCTTCTTATAATGAAACTGAAGACATTGCTTCGTGGTGAAAGCGGCATTACACTCGGGCTCCGAACATCTGAAAGAAAGAAAGAAGCAATGCAAGTAAATGTACGTTAACGAGATCTTTAAATTCAAAAAGACTGAGTTAGATCGGCGAAAGAGCGAGACATACTTGAATGGTCGGACGCCCGAATGTGTGAGCATATGGATTTTCAAATTACTGCGATTCTGGAAGAGCTTCTGACATCGCGGACAGCTGACCACCGTCGAGTTGCGACTGTGCACCTCCTTGGAGTGACGCTGCAGCGCGGCGCGTGATCCTAGAAGTTTTGAACATAATTTACACTGAAAATCTCGTAAAACTTCAGCCATATCTAAAATGAAATTTATGAAGAAAATGAAATTTTGTGGTGGATTGTGGTGATTTTGAAAATGATAAAAAGGAAAATGAGCAAACATAATATACAAGAAAGCGTATTTCGATATTGTCGTAGCAATATATAGGGCTACCGTGGTTAGTATTGTTCCATAAGCGGGTATTATCCAACTAGTATGTAGGTTAATATGTTCTTTGAAAAAGACTACAATTAAAAGTTAGTAAGTTTACAATTTAGTAGTATATATACATTTGTTATTATATATAGAACATTATTTTGGTAGTTACATAAGCAGTTAGTTCTAAACTATAAGATTTACTAGTTCTAGGTACGCACTGTTAGTAAAGGTAGGATCACAAATCGTTCTAGAAATTCGGGGATCTTTGGTAAACTCGCCTTTTCAGACTCTCTGTTCTCAGTTAATAGATAAATCTTGCGGTTAAGATCTGGCTACGGTATACCATAATAAAAGATGCGTGGACTGCACTTCAGTGGATTCGTTGGGTCAAGTTCTCAAGAAGTTCTCTGCTTTACTTCAATACAGCGCGGTTTCACCCCGAAAAAATCGGACCAATCTCGCCTGTTTGAGATCAAGGTTGAAATAGTTTGGATCTCACATCCTCAGACATTGAACTGAACAAGCGGTAATATAAATAAAACGTTTAAGCAGATAGCAGTGATAGGTTCAGGACTGTTTGTGGCTACATGTGATACAACTATAGGAGTTTTTTTGCCTTTAACAGTCTAAGTGTGATCCTCATGTTAGAAATCAGCCATAGAAATTAACATAAAGGACTTGACAATCAATCCATTTACAGCGGCTAGTGGTCCTTCCTAAGTTTAAGGAAGTTGTGGCAACCTGGGGCTTGAGTATATCGGTGTTCACAGCGATTCGTCATCAGATTGACTGTGGTGGCTTTGATCTCTGAATTAGGACAAACAATTTGCAAATCTAAGTTATTTCGGTGATCTGATCGTATGTGCCTTGCCGGAAGAAGATAAATGCCGAGTTTGGTAACTATTTTATATGAGGTTAACGGGATTTTTGAGATCCATCTTTTGGAACAATTGAGCCTATAGAATATTACGGGTGAGGCTCGTCTCCTTTAGGATCAGTATAAACTTGAGATTGAAGTCGATCCTAAAATTTGTAAACTCACGAAAAAAAAACTCACTCGGCTAGGACCCCTAAAGACGAAATCCCAAATGGATATGATCAAAGGAAATCTGAGATTGGTTAATAGAAACCTCAAGCAGTACTACAAGGAATTCTACAAAATCATATACAGAAGCTTTTAGGTCTCAGTTTCTGCTGAGGGTTCGATTCATTTGACGAAGAATAGTTGAGGACTTGTCTATATACTAATGTGGTTTCTAGGATTCTTAACTGAACATCAGAATTGGTTTGAGGATAATTCGAAAAAAAGGTATTGATTACGAAAAAATAGCAAAAATATTTATGAAAGTGAAAAAATATGGCAACAATGTGTTTTCCAATTTTCGAACTTAATGCGAGAAAATATGTGATGAATGTTTGTTATGTAAGGCGAATTATGGAATGAATGTATTAGTACTGGCTTACAACAATAAAAACAGCAAACACACACAAACATACACATGTAATTATTTAAGGTTATACGTCGAATGCATTTCGCACACGCAAACTACAGTTATACATTACAAAGCACTACTACAAACACGCACGCACACAAACGCGCAGCAATCAAAGTATGCGAATTGAGGTTATAATTGCACACACTCACGCATACAAACATGCACACGCACGCACAACTTTGAGCGCTCAGATGTGACCGCACGACTACCGGAAATTACGAATTCTGCAACATCTTACCACTGTGCATGCGCTTGATGTGAGCCTTGAGCTTTTGCGGTTGGCAGAATTTACGACCGCAGAAATCGCAAAGTGGTCGCGCACGATTCGGATTGGCCGCACAGCCGTAGGTGCGATGCATTTCCAAGTAGTTGAGTCGCAGGAAGAACTTGTTGCAAAATTGGCATTGGTAGGCGCCTTTGCCCTCATGCTTCTCGGCCGCATGCTTCATGATGTTGTCCTTGCCAAGCACCGCTTCGCCGCACACCTTGCAGTGATACTTGCGTATGGTGAGACTCATCGAGGGATCGTGGAAAATCGAGCAATGCGTGCGATAGTAGAGCGGATGGTCGAAGCGTAAATTGCAACCGCCACAATCTGTGCGGACAAGTGATGGATTATTGATTCAAAAATTTAGATATACATATAGTAAAATGAACTCACTCGTTTTCTCCGTGTGCTTCTTGCGCCACATCGTGTTGCAGTCGTCGCTCCAGTAGAGCAGTTCCATGCCATTCTTCACATCGCGACAGGTGACGAAGAACGCTTGCCGTTCAATCGAAACTAAGTTCACGTTGCGCTCCTCGTAACTGGGCGCCGGTCGTATATAGCGCAACCAATTGGAAGTGTTTGGATTGTCGCAAGCCAATAGTTGAGACAACTCCGCACCAGCTTCGCATATCTCAAATATCCACTTCATATCGCTGCCTTCGCGTACCTCACTATTCTGCACAGGTTGTCCGATAAGCGGTCCCAGTTTGGTGTAGGAACGCACTTCGGTGCGCGCAAACACGCCCGTCACATTCGGTTCGACATTATGCAGCTCGAATTCGGCTGGCACCGAAGCTTCGGCGAACGTTATCAACGGCTTCGTTTCAAGCTCAGACATTTGCGACGTTTCGTCCATATCCTCATCATCGGGATCGTGATCCTGTTTCGCTTGTCGTTGTGCATCATGTTTTAGTTTGGCCAAAGCCTCCAAGTTTTTACGTTCTATCCACTCAGACAAATCCACCGCATCGGTAATGGTGCCAATTGCAGTGCGTAATGGACAAATTTTATAGTCATGCGTGATGGAGCATTCGCGACACGATTGCTGCGAACGAAAGGCTATGTCGTGCTCGTCCTCCTCTTCAACGAAATTCTGTTCGTTTTTCATTTCACGCGCCAACGCTTCTTCATCCATTTCCTCATCTTCATCATCGCCATCGGTATCGCCGTCGAGCTCATCTTCTTCATCATCGGCAAGGCTGGTGCCCAGACTGCTGAACGCATTGTTGACCGGCAGCGTCGTTGCGGGTTTAGGGCCACGTTTGCCTTTCACTCGCGCACGGAAATTGCTGGTGGTGGCCATTGCGGTTGGTGCTGTCAGTGTGGGCGTTGGTGTTGCTCCTGCCCCGACGCCATTGTTGGCATCGACTACGTCGCCGTTAGCTGCTGCAGCAACATTGGCAGCACTTGCAAGAGCAGCTGCGCTAGTTGAGTCAGCGCCGGTGGTCTCTGCTTCTGCTTCCTCATCATCGTCTTCGTCGCTGTGGTTGTGCTGTTCGGTTTCATCTCCCGCCTCACCTGGTTTCTTCAGACACAATGCATTTTGATGCGTTGATCCTTTCGTAGCGCCCTTCTCTTCCAGCTCGCTCTTGATCTTCTCTGCTATGCGACAGTCCAACACCTCGGGCAAGGTATCGTTGCCTGCACCGCTCGTGTTTGTGGCATTCTTCATTTTTTGATCGTGTTTCTTCGCTTTTGCGGAGAAATTCGAAAAGTCTTTAATTTTCGGAAAGCCATTAAGTGCGTCACTGAACTGTACGCGCTTTTTGTATTTCCTCCGTATCGGCGCGGGTGCTGGTGCCTCGCTACTATTCTCAGTTTGACTTTTGCTGAACTCCTTCACGCTGAGGTTGGGTTCCAGTTTGAAGTTGTTGGCGAAACTTTTTGTGGGTGTTGTTGGCGCCGAGGGCGGTGGTAAACTGTGAAGTATAAATATATAGAATTTAAATATTATTTAGATACCGTTAACATACTAAGACTATGAAAGTGAATAATAATAATATTTATTGTCCATAGAATGAAAAATTTCTTGAGGAAATCTGATTAAAATTTTGCGATGTCTGTAGGGAATGCTGAGATGATATTGTCTTTGATAACAAAAATTCGATTGGTTTCATTGAAATCGTTCCAGGTTCAAAGTTCGACTGAGCTTAGAAAATCGTTTATCTTAATATATAGTCCCAGCATGATCTTGACAGAAACGTCAACTAAACTAGTAGCGATTGCGTTGTAATGTATGTTGTAGGTAAGAAAAAGTGTTTCACAAGTTCACGTTGCAACTACTTCGGTAGTCTTAAGGACCCCCGAATGAACAACTTTCGGCGATATTATTTCATTAATGAAAGTTCGAAAGTGTAAAGTACATACACCATATATTATTTGTATAAGAGTAAAAAATTTCGGGGACCTTTAAAAGTTTAATAAGCCCTATATTGACTAAAAATGTAAAAAAATTTAGAGTCATTTACGAAGGTGTCCTAAGTGAGCATTCGAAATTTCAATACGATTGCCAAAACCGGAGGTTTCTTGGCATTCGCAAGATATGTACGATAATAAGGGAATACCTGTAGAATTCCGAAGAAAACCGAATTGTGAAAAAATGTGTAAACTATTGATATTATGCAGGAAATAGTCGAGAAAGGTAACGTGAGGTTGTAAACGGTGAAGAGAAAAGGATGGCAATAAGCCGCAGTTAGTAATTGTTCTAGTTAATATGTAATGAAGGATTTAAAGACGGCCTATATACTTAAACACCGACGTTTTTGACGAAAATACCCTACATGAGTTTGTATCGATTGTTAATATGGAGAAAAATTAATATGTAAATAAGGCAAATAATGACTAAGTAACTCTATTACTAGACTAATTAAGCCCGTCTAAGTATTTCAAAAGGAGAATAACTGGTTAACAATCGGTTATCTCTGAAGAAGATCTGGACCCGACTGTCACGGTTAGACCTAACATATTATCGGCTTTCAAAGAAGTTGATTCTAAGTATTTCAAAAGGAGAATAACTGGTTAACAATCGGTTATATTCGAAGAAGTTTTCGTGCAAAATAGAAGAATAGCGTCCAGTTAGAACTCAGGTTAGCTGTAAAAGATATGGTTTGGTTTGTATCAGAAACTCACATGTGTAAGTCTAGACTAGAACCTCGTAAGCATGCCATAAATAATGCAACTAATTACTGAAGAGCTCGAAAGTCTGCCGTGAGTTGCCGATTGAAAATAAATGAAGCACTGCCAACCTGTTAAAGTGAGTCTTATATACCATAAGAAACTATAAGTTACGGAAAGGTCGTGCATTATTTTGATTGAGCAGCCATAGCTTACTTTTTTAATGAAGCTCCGGAATATGCTCTTTTGAAATTTTCATCAGAATGAGAACAATCTCTACAAATGTCTTAGAACCCATATTCGGATAATTATTGTTCGAACAATTTTAAGACTGGATTCCACTTATCGTAAAAAATAAAACTAGAATTGGAATTGAAAGAGACAAAATCGACTTTTGACTTTGCAAAAAAAAGAAGAAAATTGTACGAAACATTTACGCATACCCAGAAGTACGGAACTATTGTGAACATTCAATATTACCAAATACAACGTTTTCTTTCTCAGAATTTTGGAAAATTATTTTTGGGTGATTGGGTGATGGTTTTTTGTCAGTTAACTCGTTGTTCCTTTCCATATCTAAAATCTGCACGGGAATTCGATGAGATATAACCCAAAAATATCTTTCTTAAAAGTTCATGGTGCAACACACCCTATCTGTGCTATGTTCACGGCTATCATGTCTTTTGCGTTTGTGGAAGACTTCTGACAGAAAGTGCCTAGATAACATATATGGTGATGGCGGCTCGGGACGGCAAGGCAACTGTTAAGAGCTGCGCCACTTCAGGTGGCTGACATTTGCAATGCGCGCTTGTTGCTACCAACGTTACCATTGGCGCCGTTGCAAACGCACCAACACAACTGTACACAAATTGTGCGAGTTTTTGGTCTTTTTTTATTCTCGTTTTTGTTTTTTGCCTTCACAAGCTGTTGTCGTGTGCTTGTGTAAGCCTGCAGTGCACTAGAACACACGGAATACGCAGTTTGCATGCGCTTCTGAATTTGAATTTTCAACATTTCGTTGTTGTTTTTGTTTTGTTTTGCATTTCACCAAAAATCAACTACAGCAGGGTCGTATGCAAAAGACTCCAACTCAGTAGTAGACGCATAAATAGTATATGCATTTGTGTGTGTGTGTGAGTATGGCTGGGTGTATGCCTGCATGTACCGTTAGTGTATGCGCGTATAAGTAGATAATGCACAAGAGCACGCGAGTGCCTGAATGCACTTGCATATGCATACAATCGACCGAGCAGATGCAACGCACTTGTGTGTGTTTGTGTGTGTGTGATTATGTGTGGGTGTGTTTGTGCACTGCTTGCATACTTGCACACTCCTAGTTGCCTTAACGAGCTCATACGCCTTGTAGGTCCAGGGAAGCACGCAATATGACGACTGCCAGCACTTGGCTAGCGCTGACGTTGCATTGTGAAATTCGTAGCAAGCGCTTTGTGGCTGTGTATGTGCGCATGCATGTGGCATGCAACACTCTAGAGCGCCGTGCAATAGCAATAACTACACACACACACACACACGCGCGCGCGAGCACTCACTAGCAATGGCTGCTCGCTTGGTTATTTAGCTGCCTCGTGTTTTGTATTTCCGCTTCCGCTAACACGCTATCATCAGCACGCATTCATGCACACACGCACACATACACGCGCGCACATTTGTGCGGCGATAAGAGTGCGCGGCGCTATATTCCTTGGAGTCAGACACATACATACATACACGCGCGGACTCTTGCAGCCCGCATATCGACTCTTAATACCACACACAAACACTCTTACATATCCATGTATATATACATATATATACTGGAGGTACGCGTATATCACTGCTGCATATATGCTCGTATGCACTCGGTTGGCAAAGTGGCGGCAAAGCTTTTGTCGCGCACACAAACCATTCGCGCATGAATCGCCTTTTATATTGTCGCTCTTTTATGCGTCGCCTTTCATTGCATACCTTATTTGTTTGGTTTTGTCTTTCTTGTTGTTGTTGCCCGCCTGCCAAGTGAGCAGCCATGGCAGATTGTTTAATATTCGAAGTCATTATGCACGCATCGGCATATCGCGTCCAAACGGCAAACAAGCAAGAACTGTGGAATCATTCAAGCGTAACGCGGAGCTGCAGAAATCGAGGCGAAACCTGAGCGCTGCCATCTACCAGCAGACAACATTATGCACTGAGTGCTAGAGCTACAGCCCATAACCTCCCTTTAGGGTAAATACTAAAAGCTTAAGCCAAATCTTATTATTTTGGGAGGTAATAAATCTTACAATAGAAATTCGTTTTGGAGCAGTCTCTGACGTGGGACTTTATCACACAGACGAATATGTACGAAGTTTTTTCGCATTGTCAAATTGAGCAAAATATCGTTGATTTATACTACCAGTTTCGTTAAAAAGTATAAGGTTCTCTTCAACCCTTTTGATACTAGATGGGGTTTTGCGTTTTTCAATCGAAAGAACATTTTCGAGATTTCGAAACTAAATATACATATTTTGTTAATAAAAAAAAACACTTCGTGAAACCACGCCTCCGCTTGCGATCACTCGAAAAAATCGCATTTGGAGAAACTGTAATCATAGCCTTGTGAATTTCTTGACGACATTTCTTTACCTTGAGCTAAGTACGATGGCCGAAAAGCACCGAAATGCCACACCACTAAAACGGTTTTTCTACGCGATACTTGCTGGCAGTTAAGCAAATTAGGGAAGGGGCTTCGGTTTTATTAAATGTGTAGAAGAGCTTTACTTTACTCGACACTTTTTCGACTACTTATTCGGATGAAATTACGGTTTTACTCGACGAAAATGGCTTAGGTGCTCATAAAAAAAACGGTATAACGAAGCAAGAAGACACTTATAGTTTCAAGTTTACTTAGTAGTAGCAACCTAACAATTTTTGTTACTAAAATTCTTTTCAACTTTAAAAAACGAAGAATTGGGTGGGTTATAATTAAAACGCGTGTTTACTCAGACAGTTTTTTATTACAATAGCAAAATCAAACTTGATATTCCCGAAAGTCAAGTTTTGGCTGGCCGAAAAAATACCTGCTGCACATAAGCCATCGTTAGGCTCATTCTACCTTCTAGTAATTACCAACTCTCTGAATTTGTTAAAATTCCTTAGTTTTTTACCATGCTAGGCGCCTAATTTATTTAAGTTACGAACATTGAGAGCCTTGACAGATATTCCGTCGCAACGAGTTAAAATTCTGGCATTCTCGAGGTTGATGTTCTAACTTTTCATCATCCTTTGCATTTTGTCAATTTCTTTTTACCAATTATTTGAAATTGAGACCTCCGGGTTAAGGCTCTGTGATGACTCCTATCATATTAAAATATGTTCTTTTCTAGAAATAGAAGCCTTTTTGTCTGCCTACTAACCACCCAATTTCGAAGTCATTTTATGGTACGCCTTTTATTGAAGGTATGCCGTTTGAAGAAACTGAGCGGTCTTGTGAAGCTTTTAGAGACTCTGATCGGTGCTCAGAGGAATATTAAGCTTTATTTTATGTACAAAGCCATTCAGTGTTTAAATCCGTGTAGGTTAAATGCATAAAAGTCCATTCAAAGCTCATGGTTTCGGAATTTTCAACCCAATTTTCAACGGAGGTTGATCTTATAACGTCTGTGGAAGCCAATGTCACACATTTTCCAAAATACTTTTGTGTGTTTTGGGTTGAAAATTCCTTCATTTTCCAATTTCCTTCCTTTCAAAATAGGCCCATGAGAGCATCAGTCTTAAAATTCCTAGGTATCCTAAGTAAAATCGCGGATTCAATGAATAGTAAATTCTGACGAAACAATGATTTTTTATGTAGCCTGGGTCTTAGTCAACTCGTCAACCTAAGAGCGACTCTACAGTGCACTTACGACCAATATATATATATATGTATTTACCATTTCAAGACCACATTTGATCTTTACTGGCGGAAAAAACTAGAGCTTTCTGGCCTGATACTGGTTATAAATAAAAACTAAGAATTGATAATTTCCGAAGTTGATCAGATATTCTAATGGCCTTGGAATCAAAGCAGCAAATGTCAAACAAGTTTTAAACTGGACTACTATTCGGTGGGCCCTGTTAATACTAAGATCTAAAAACATCATGTCTAATCTAATTGTACTTATACTAAAACATGGACATTTCTTTATACTCACTTCGCCAAACGTTCCGTATCATTGTCGGCCAAATTCAACAAGTACGTCACAAACTCCACATCGTTTTTGAATTGCAGACGCGTGCGTGTGTGCTCCCACTTTTCCGCGTTCTTGGTGCCGATGTAAATATTTTTGCTATAATTTTGATGGCGATACTTCTTACGCTCACTATGGCCCGAACCCGTTGTGCCAGCCGCGCTACCTGCCTCGCTAGGCGCACCGCCACACATACTCTCACCACCAATGCCGGCCGCGATACCGTTACCGCTACCTCCACCGACACCACCACAAATACTGCCATTACCGCCGCCGCCACCACCACCGCTGCCACCAATGCCAATGCTATTCGCATCACCCGCGCCAATAACGCTGCCACCACCTCCACCAACACCTAGCGCAGCAGTAGATGAGCTGTTATTGCTCAGGCTGGCGCTGCTACTACGCGCCAATTCATTGCAATTGTTGCCGTTGTTCGCTCCTAAGGCGCCTTCAAAAAGTGAACTAACGCCGGTGGCTGCATTTTGCTGCGTCGCGCATTGGTTGTGTGACTCTGTGGTCGCATTTGTAGTCAACGCGTTGTTGAGTACGCCCGCAGCGCCTCCATTGCTGTTTGTGCCATTGGTGCTTGCATTGGCAATCGCTGCCATCAGCAATGCATCTGCAGCGCTATTGCTGTTATGATGACTATTGTTATTGTTGTTGCTGTTGTGTGTATTAACTGCCGAGCGATGTGCATCGCCCACACCCATGCCATCTAGTGCGCGCATGCCATGACAGACCATGTCGTCGTCATCATCGTCCTCGCCATCATCATCTTCACTGCTGGCATTGCTATTGTCATCATTGTTGGTAGTGTTGTTGTTGTTTGTTTGATGCGCAATATTGCTGTGGCTGTGGTTGCTACTACTGTTGTTGTTATTAGTGACGTTGTTGTCATCACCATCTCTGCCATTGCTAATATTGGACACATTAACAGCCGCGCCAGCGTTTGCAGCCGCACCGGCAGTGGACGCATTTGGCGACTCGAGAAACCTGTCATTGTCATTGGTCACACTAGCCAATGCATCCGTGACAGCGCGCAACTGTCGCGCGGTGACATTGAACGCTTCATTCGGAGCATCATCGTCCGCCTCGTCCTCCTCCTCATCGTCGTCGTCATCGTCGTTGCCGCCGCCTTTCTCTTCCGCTTTCGTGCGTGTTCGTTGCTCACGCTGCTTTGTGTTTTCAGCCTCATTGATTGCTTCTTCCTCATCGTCGTCATCCTCTTCATCATCGTCATCGCCACCATCTCCGCCAGCATCATTGTCCTCTTCATCTTGCTCCATCGCGTCGCCGTTGACTTCATGCATTTCAGCGCCATTCCTCCCACTGCGCGTTCCCGCATTACTCGACGCTTCCACTTCGTGACAACTCGCATTATTGTTGTTGTTGTTCACTAAATTACTACTATTATTTAATCTACTGTTGTTGTTGTTACTGTTACAGCTGTTAATACTGTTGCTGGTATTGTTGCCATTGCTGTTGTTACCGCCGCTGCCGCCGCCACTGCTTATATTGTTATGCAGATTCGCGCGACTGAGGTAGGATGGCGGGCGCGCCTGTATATCAGAATTATCGGAGCTGTCATTGAAGTCGAACGCGCTGAAGTCGGCCGCATTCGATTTGGACACCTCGTTGGCGGCAGCATCTGCAGCGCTGCGTTGCGTTGCGCTACGCAGTGTCGCCGCATGTGTTACCAACTGCGCTTTCGCCGGTTTTGTTGCTTTCGGCAACGCTTTCCGCTTTGTCCGCGTCACTTTGTCGTTTTAATAAAAACAACTTGTGTATAAAAAATCTTACGCGCACTATGTAATAATGAACGCGTGTGGCACCGCCTCACAATTTGCACTTAAAACTAGTTTTCTACTTAAACGCGCACAAGCTTTGTGTTGCCACAATTATTTAGAGCGTTTGAAATACATTTTTTTGCATTAAAATATGCCCGCGCTTGAACTAAATACATATATTTTTTTAGCGCACAGCAATGTGGTCTTCCCTTATACCGCGCGCGTTGACCGCAACCAAACCACTAGTAATAGTTTAGCACAATTTTTGCATTTTGCTTTGGTTTGTGCACAGCGCTGCTCTTACTTTACTCCGCGCCTGCCACAGCGCGTATAAAAATCGACTAGCGCTCAAGCTTGTTGGGAGTGTGGCGTATCCTTCACACGCAGGAAGTTAATTTTCCTCTATTTTATTTCCATTGCCACTTGCGCTTTGCCACTATACACCATCACCATTCCACTTTCTTACGCACACATCCGTGCGCACACTTCCTTTACCACTTTTGTAGTTTTTTTTACTCTCTACTTTCTTTTTCGTGGTATTCTGATTTTTTTTTTTCTTTCACTTTTTATATACTTTGTATTTTTGTTTTCATTACATTTGGCTTTACCTCGCTTTCATCTATTATGCTGCGTCTCACAACATTTGCGCACATACCAACACACGCACACAGAAAGCGCGCACTTCGCTCTCAACAATACAAAAGGGATTTCATACGCCAATTGCCATTGCCGCCCTTGCTTCTTTCACAGCTGACGCGCTGCACCGTCAATTTCAGCCTCAGCTTTAGCTTTCTGATTTCGATTGTGATTCAGTATCAGAAATTTTTTCGCATTATTCCATTTTGTCCGTTGTTTTATCTCTGCGCTCTGTACACATATATATATAAATAACTATCTACACCCGCGCCGTTTCGATCCGCGTGTTACGACGCGCTAGCAGTATGCGTGTCGCGTCGCGGCAGCGCACGAGCTATAGTCTTTGCACTTTGGCTTTTAAGGAGTTCAGTGTATGCCTCGTCCTTATGCGGCACTATGCCTGCGCTGCTTTTTTTTATTTTGCTTGTCTCTTGTGCCTCTAATTTTGCCTATGTCTATGCTGGTGGCTTTGGCTATGTCTGCGCCTAAGCTTGCTGTTTCGAACACTCCCTAAAAGGTGCTGTTGTTGACGGTGTTGGTGGTGTTGTTTGCCATTATAGCCTTCATTGTTGCTGTTGTATTTATGGCGTATGTCGGCACGAGCGTCAACATAGCGCGCTGCCTGAGGATCGTTCGCAATGTGTGCGCCGCCTTCACTTCCGTTTTCAGCCTTATTTGTTCGCGTTTAATATCGAATTTTCACTTCAAGAGTTGTAATTTGGTTATTAAAAATCGTTAATATTGACTTTATTTGATTTTCTTGCGTAGCGCTGTGGTCTTTACGCGTACGCGTCGCGTCATTTTTCACCTCCAACAACGCCCATAAATTCGCGCAGCAACCAAAATGTTCTAATACCAACACTGCTGTCGCGGGTTCGCAGCGCCTCCCCGCCACACTAACTTAGGCTGCTGTTTTACCACAGCAACGGCTGTGCCAAGGTTCAATATTTTTTCGCGTTACACCTGAATAGCCGAGTATATTTTTGCGTTTTCGTTAACAAAATTAAATTTCTGTCTACTTTCCTACGTTGCTCGCCACTTGAAGAAAAAATTTTCACACCACCGTTAAACTACAGTCGCTGCGCCTGCTGGCTGCTATGTCCTTTGTTCGCGAAAGCACTCGTCGTCTTAGCCACGAATTATTTGCAATATCATCAGCACACACACACACACGTCTCAGATACCTTCTTTATTTAAAAATGCTATAAATTCCACTTTTTATTTAGCTACAAATGTAAATTCACACTTTTTCAAATATTTGCTATTTTTTCTGGCTACACATCAATAAATCTGCTATTAAAGTCGTCGCTATATTGCTACTGTGTGGCTGGGAAATTTTTTCTTTCGGTATTTCGTGTCATTCGCCGTTTTGCAGTCGTCGGAATGAAAAGTGTTTTTTTCTGCTATTTATGTTGCCTGAAAGTTGCTGTCAGTGCGAAAGTTTATCGCCAGTATGCCTCTCTAACCGCGCGACGCGTTGCTCTCGCGCCACTTCCTGCCGCCATATCGTCCTTCAGCGCCGTTGCGCTCCCCAAAATACAACGCGCCGCTCAGCTGGCACACAAACAAACGCGCTGTCGCAATCGATGTATGTATGTGTGTGTGTGTATGAGTGGCCGGGGTGCTGTACTCGTTGCCGTTGTCAAGACCCTCCGCATTGCCGCCCTCGCGACACTGTGTGGGCGCAATTCCTTGCCTTGTCTATACTCCATAGCGCCATCCTTCGGCGCTTCGCTACGCTTTGTCGTACGCGTACGCTCATTTGCTCTCGCGCATAATTTTTCCATGTGTTGGTCATAAATCGAAGTTTGCTTTATGCCCGAGTGTTGGCATCGTCGCGTACAAGTATTTATCGCCGCTTTCGTCGCGCCACCTCGCAGCGCTCAAACTCAAGCGCCAACCACTCGTATTCGTACGACCCACCGTTATGTTTATGCGCTAGTCATTGTTTGTGTATTTTAGTGTGCGCGCTGGTGTGTGTGTTGTGATTTCGCTGAGCACTCATCGCTTCGTGTCGCCGTGTCTTCGCAGGATGCTTTACGGTTTGTTATGCTTTGCTGTTTGTTGTGTATTCGTGTTCGCATTTTAGCCGCGTTGCTGTCATTGTATTGCTGCTTGCTGCTGCCGTTTCTTCGTAGCGTTAGTTTGCTTGTGTGCGCGCGTGTGCCTGTGAGAGCTTTATGTGTTACCATATTTGCCATATCTCTATGTGGGTGGTTGGGTTGCTGTTAGTTTCTTTCACTTCCCAGGTTTCTCTCTTCTTCTCTTTAGCCGTTTCGTTTGTTCACACTATTCACTGTCTTTGGGTATATGTCACTGCCTTGAGGGTGGTTGCCCATAAAGGCTCCACTAATTTTCTTTATTTCCCTTTTATGTTGATTTTTGTAGTACGAAAATATCTATAAAAGTAAATTGAAAGGTGACAGTTGAAGTCCTGGCGCTATTATTATTCTACTACAATTATTGATAATCTTCTACAAAAGTGGTAAATATTTGATTAAATACATTAAAAAGAAGAGAGGAAGAGAAATGATACTGTCAATCGAGTAAAATAAATATTGAGAAGTGATTGTGGTTTCTTCTGATCAAAGCGATCGTTAGTCGAGTAGATTTTTCAATTTGTAGTCTATTTAAATTTATGCTGGGAAGGAAATGGAACCTAAGGTTATCTTGATTTCCTCCTGTCTCAAATCCAAGTGTACTCGATGACGAAAGCCGAAATTAAGCCTACGCTAATGCTAGCAAGTTCTTTGCAACACGTGTTTTTAGTCTTATTCTGATTAATCATATTGATATATATTATTTTTTCACTACTGCCTGTAATTCTTATCAAGTTTATGAAATAATTTTTATAAAGCTGCCGGCTTCTGAAAAAAAACATAAAGCTGTTAAGTTTTACTATAATATAATATATTATATAATAATTGACTATATTTGATACCTTGCTTTAATTAGAGAAAATATATATTGGACTAATGACGCCAATATAATTCTATTTATGGTTATGAAGCTATTTGATTCCAACCATTAAGAACTCTTTTGTCAATGGCGAATCTAAATTATATAATATGGCTCTTTGTTTAAATGCCATTCTCTGCCGTTAAAGTGAGCATTATTTGAGGTTATGACATCGAAGTAAGCAGTTCGACCAATCGCATAATAATTACGAAGAGTATTCGTTCTTAAAAACATTTTCTTCGTACATTACCATACACTTATAGTCGTCAATTCGAAGATTTCTCGTCACTAACTTTAGCGATACTTTTTGCTGTTCTTCCAAACAAATCTGGAGAGGTGCGTCATAATGGTAGCAAATGTTTAAGAATATTTATGTTTTTTTCTTTTTGTCGAAATTGTACTTCCTCCTTACAACAAAAAGAAACACTCATTTTGTTCCATCAAAGGCTTTGACTTCAGGTAAAAATATATTGCAAGAGGAAATGTTTAGATAAGGGTTTCTATAACGAACTGGATGATCTCAAATCATATTGACGTAAGAAAATTTAAAAAATTAAAAGTGTAATATATTTGTACTCCTCATTTAATTTTTAATCCTGATCTAATTGGATCTAATCTTAAATATTATTATCTTATGAAATTAAATATAACTTTTTCTAATCTAAAGACATCTAATTTAGTCTAATGTAATTAATTATAATTGGAAAATCATAACCCACTCGAATCTAAACTGACTTAATATATTAAAATATATTCGAGTATAATATAAAACTAATCTCATGTAATTTAATCTTAGATATTAATTAATTTAGTAAAATCTAATCAACACTTCTTTTGAAGAAGAAACCAACTGACTTTAAAGTCTCCGGAGGGTTTGGGTTCATACACCCTTTATTTCATCGTCCATATTACCAGCAGCGGTCAGATGTCGCTCGTGTGTTGCAGACTTTCCAAAACTTATTCAGCAACAGAGAGAAGAGAGCTCTTCAATACTTTTGACATTTGAAACCAACGAGGAAAATTGTCAAATCGCTGTAACTGCACACACGAACACACATACATACACATGCAGAGCACGTCAATTTAGAGGGTGGCAAAATAGTCACATGTAAAATTCGATAGTTAGCAAGTGTTCGTTCTTCATTCAGTGCACACACGCGACAGTGTGACAGACGGACCGACCAAGTGGTGAGTCTACTTGGTGGGGTGCTTTGAAAACAAGAAGAAAAAGTAGAAGAAGAAAAAGTGCGAAAAAGCAAGAAAACTTTGCTCCGAAGAACAAAGAAGTTGTGACAACGGAAAATGCAAATAAATAGCCAATAAAATTGCCACGGACAGACAGGCCGACAGACAGTGTCGTAAACGCACAGTCGGTGG